CCATAAATCAGAAGAGAAGCCTTATCCAGGTCCAAGATGGCGGCGCCCATACACGTGGGGTCATCCAACATGGCGGCACCCATGCAAGCAGGGTCATCCAAGATGGCGATGCCCATGCATGCTCTGTCCTCCATGGTGGGGCACTCACGTGGCTCATCCATTTTACCCAAAATGGCAGCACCCCGACTCTGGTTCCACCCACCTGGGAAGGTTCCAGGACTCCGGTTTCAGGAGCCCTGGAAGCCCCCAAGGCCCCTTCCACCAGCGGGCAAGGGGACACCACAAAGCCACCCTCTACCCAGTGGGGGTGGTGCACTGAGGCTGCAGTCACCAATGCAGGTGGAGAGCAGTCTCCACCCACCTGTGAAGGTGGGGGCTCTGCAGCTCCGTTTTCGGGAGCCAAAGCGGCTCCTGGCAACCTCTGCTGCGGTGGGTGAGCAGAGCTCACTTGCAGAGGCTGCGAATCCATGGTGGAGACTTCTCCCACCTGCAGGGCAGGAGAAGCTACAGTGGGCCTCACCTCCCCAGAAAGCAGTGTCACCACGGGAGACACTGCTGTCTGGGGTCCCCCATTCCCTGGGTTCAGAGCATTAATGAGGTTTCTTTCCTCATCATCTCTCTCCTCCTGTGATCTACTATCAGGGAGGGGTTCTGAGACCCCTATCTCCTTCTGGACCATTACACGCTTCTCTGTAGAACTACTCACACAGTTCCAACAAAGCAAACATAGATTCAGAGCAAAAAGAATACAGATGGCGTAAAGACCAGGTATTTCCCCTGCTACCGCCCACAATTCCAGCTCCATTATTGCAAAAGAGCAGTCAGAAACCAAGTTTTTCAACCCCGAACACTTTCACGTCTCTGCTCCCTTCCCTCTTTGTTTCCTTTTCACCTTTCCAGGCGTGATTAGGCGGCCGATGCCCTCAAGAGCGCAGAGAAATGCTCAGAGACTGGGAAAATTCCAAAGCCTCACTCTCTCGCACCTGAGGGGGTCGGTCTGCCACGGACAATTATCGTCCCGGCGGAGTCGCCAAAAACTGTTACCGAACAACAAGAGGTGGTCGTCCGAGGGAGGGGCAATACAATATTTGGCCCACCTAGGGATGCCCAAAACTGCTGTACAACAGGGGCCCCTCCCAAAAACCAAAATACTAAAATCTACTGGGCCCTTCTGTCCGCCGCCAATTGGAAACACATCTCTTAAAGCCAGAGATTTGTGAAAAGGAAACAAAATGTTTATTTAATGCTATTCAGGCCTAATGCCACCACTAAAATATCAAAGTTCTTTAGGTTGTACACCTACACCCACACAATGCTCCCTTCCCCCGCTGTCCCAATTCCGGGTACCGTAAATCAGGAAAAGAGCACACGTCTGTGTTGCAGGCCGCTGGCACCGTCAGCTGTGTCACTGTGCAGGATCTCGAGTTAATCCAAAGTACTGTGGTACCCTCTCATGGTCCACTGGCAAGAGTCCTTTGTACCCAGTTCCAGTCAAAGTCTCTGTTGCTTTTCAGGCCCCGCGGCCAAAGGGGGCACCCCAAAGCCGCGTGGGCCTCTTCTACCAAAGCTGCAGGAGTCCGCACTCCGCCAAAAGTATGTGGCTGTCTTCTTCACCTGGCTGCAGGGATCTCCATTCTGGCAAAGCTGCGTGGTTTTCCCTTTCACCTGGGAAAGAGGGGTTCCACACTCTGCCAAAACCACGTGGCTCCCTCTTTCACCTCACCAACCGGGGGTCCTCACTCTGCTGAAACCGCGTGGCTCTCTCTCATCTGCCCAAGCAGGGACCCTTCATGTCCTGGAGCCAGTCTTTTCCAAGCTCCCACACAGCGGCCCTTCCACTCAGGGGCGCAGCCCTTAGTTACATCCTGAGTCCAAGCCCTCCTCACTCAGGAGCGCAGCTCCTAGTTCCCATCTTGAGTCCCAGCTACTACCTTCTCCCTTCTTGAGTCCCCGCCACAACCTTCTCTCTTCTTCCTTTCTGCCTGGCTCCAAACTTGGCCACTGCTATTTAACATATCTATGAAACCAGTTAAAGGTTATAGATATGTTAAATAACCATCCCTCCAGAGGTTAGCTCCAAAACTGTTGCTATGCAAAATAGCTCTCAATGGCCCTGCTCCATTCATCCCTTCCCCCTGGGGGGGGGGGGGTGAGGACATCTTATATGTCTCTCCAATATTCCTATACACTTTGAATTCTGGACACCATTCCAAATCTTTTTCTGGGGGGGCCCCCTTTGGCTGCACCCTGTATCATCCTGAAGTGCTAAAAGTGGTGTCTCTCCACTGTTGTATTTGGACCTTTAAAAATGTTTACATATATTACTTATTTTTACTTTCTGGTTTTTCTTATAATGAATATATACTTTCAAAACTAAAAAAGTACATTATTTTTAATGAATAAAAGGGAAAACAGAATAAGAAGAAAAAATGCAAGAAGAAAGCAGGGCCTTCTGCAGAGGTCCAGGCAGGTGTTGTTGTGGGAGTTTAGCATAGCCCTGGGGCTGGCATTGCCTGGAATTGTGGAGTCCAGGTGTCGCTTTTTGGCTGTGCTCTGTACCGCTGAGAGTATTTTAATGGGCTGAGTGGCTTTTTCATCCTCTGTCAATGACTACAAGGGGGTGGAAGAGGGTAGTGGGGGTTCCCAATTGGAAGAAATGTTGTTCGAAAGGGAAGTGGCCTGATGGTGTTACTCCAGGTTTCACATTAGAGTTACCCCCACCACAGTGACTTGATTCGGACTCCTCGACATTGTGGATGGGGGAGAGACATTCACACAGACTACCGAGTCCTGTGGAGGAGAAGGGTGGGCATGACTTTTTCTCTCAAGGGAAGCAAAAGCTTCGGCCCTTGCAGTGACCAGCCTTTACTGGGTTTCTAGGTACATTACACTGTGGTCCTCATTCACTAGGCACAGGTTGCTTCAGGTGGTTACCTTTTACAGAAAACAAAGGAGCCAATGCCGCTAATCACATCACAGAAGAAGGGTATTTGCAAATGAAAAGGGAAAAGTGGTTGGGCCAGTTACACTTGTCCTTGGAAGGTTTAGCATGGATTTTAGGAAGTTATTTTGCAGTAAATGTTTGCCACAAATCGAGGTGAGGGCGATTTTAGCAAAAGCAAGACTCAAACTGGCCTAGGCATATTGCAGGCCTGATCCTGTGTGGCCCATGCCACACAGAAGGGTCTCCTATAGTGACTTACTCCATTATTGATTAAATCAAAGATGGGATGGGTAAAGAATGGACACCCCAAGTTTTGAGAATTGAGCCAATTGTTTGAGGCCAGGCTGCTCAGCAGGGAGGGTTTCCAGAGGTAGTAGCCACTGGTTTTGACCTTCCAATCAGGAAATGGCCTGCTCACAGATTCTTAGTCAAATGCCAAGAACTGAGATCCTCAATACAAAACTCTCCTGTTCACAGCTTCCCTTAGGGCTATCTTTGGAAGGAAAGGTAGGGTCAAAGGTCATTTCATTCAGCCAGTGTTTTCTCAGGTATCGTAGGCATCTGTCGTTGGTACACAAACTATGCTTATAGTTACAGGGAAAAGCATTTAAAAACAGTATTTCATGCTATATACTTATTGTATTGAGTATTAGGAAAGCTATATCAAAGCCATGATTTCATAGTCGAGATGTAATTTTTTAAAAAACTTTATGCAGAAATGCAAGGCAATCGATATCTGTATCTTAAGTAAACTGCAGTGTAGGATACGACAAAACCCACGCCGAGGGAGACACGTGACTCTAGGCTGGAAACGGCAGAAGTTGCTTCATCAGAACTTTCTGAAAGAGCAGGCCTTCAGACATTGCACTGAAAACATGCGGGGCTGGCTGCAAGCTTGTAGAAAGCAGATTCCTGGTCCCTGCTGAGAGATTTTAGGTCAGGAGACCTAGGATGGGGCCTGGGCTGAGAGCCTTTTCATGAAGCTTTCCTGCTGACCCTGGGGCAGCCAGGTTTGGGAACCTCGAAGATGGGAGTGATACCTCCTTGGGGGCCTGCAGGATTAGTAGTTCTTGGTAATTAAACTTATTTTAAGCATGTGCTGGCTCTCAAGTCTATTAACTCTCCTTAATTGTCATCAGCATGGCTATCCTGAGGAATGTTCACAGTGATTTTCCGGTGAACAGAAATGGAGTTTCGCAAAGCTTGTCCACTAGGTGTCACTCTTGATCCAACTAAACCTGGCTAAAGGTGTTTTAATAGAAGACATCTACAAAATATTTATGTCCTTGGTTACCTAAACATGAGTAACAGAACGTCCCCACCTGTGTGTTCTTACGTCCTTTCCTGGCGATCTCCATCACAAAGGCGACCATACATCAGTTCTGTGGAGGACTAATTCCCATCACAGAGCCACTTTCATTCTGAGACCTCCTCCTTGGTGCAGGCGGCTGCCTGAGTCCGAGTCTCCTCAATACACCGATTGCCTTTCAGGGCGCGGGACCCAGCGCCTTCCGAGATTCTCCTGTGATTAGAGCGAATGCTTCCTGAAGTGCTGTCTCCGGTGTTTCCGGCAGCGCTTTCATCAGCTCCCCCTGTCCATCATCCACGCCCCCAAGTCACAGAGAGAGAGCAGGACCAAGGACGAGGACCTGCAGGGACCCTCAAATGGGGAGAGGGGGCGGGGCGAGGGGGGGCACCGCTTCACCGACACCACTCTGAGGCAATGCAGGCAAAATTGCTGTTAGCAATTTTGAGTTAAGAATATGGAATTATTTAATGCAAATATTGGCAAATGCTATTTGTTTCTCTTTTGCACTGCTGAAAGCAGGAGATAAAGGCATAAAAATGGATGTACAATTTAGAAGAAAGCAACAATATGACTCAGATTGTGGTTCTAATTAAAAATAGATTTCATTGTTACTTAAATATTGTCTTTCTTTAAAATATAAGGAGTTTATCTTCAGAGAAGAAATGGGGCAATAATAAGTAGGATGCATATTGCACTTTCCAGTTTCGGAGGTTGTCTCAAGTCCTCTATTTGGAGTTACCTTCTGCACAACCTTGGGAGATGGGTGTTTTTGCTCCCAAGTTTCTGACTAGGTCAACAGCTGCAATGCCACGCTGGAATTTTAATCCAGGTAATCTGACTCCAAAAAGCTATACTATCCATTAAACCAGCGAGTCTTAACTAGGGTGTGCATTGGAATTTCCCGGTGAGCTTTTCAACATAGGTACTCCCAGACCCAAGCTGGATCTCCTCCACAAGAATTCCCCGAGTCATATTGGGTTCATTCAATAAAGCAACACGAGTTAGGTCAGGTAGTGAGAGATGTTTGGGGAGAAAGAACAAAGCACAGTGAGGTAGGAGAGAGTGACAAAAAGTGCTCTTTCAAAAGGTCAGTTGGGGAAAACCAACCTCTCCAAGGAAGAACAGCTGAAGTCAGACACTAATGAAGTAGAGCTGTAACCTTTGCAGGTGCAGGTGGGAAGGGTGCTGTAGCAGAGGGAAAAGCAGACACGAAGGCCTTGAGGCAGGAGTGTGCTTGGTGTGGAGAAGCACCAGGGAGACTAGTGTCCTGGAGTGGCGTTGGTGAGGAGAACACTGGGAGAGGGGTCAGGAGGCAACTGGGGGCCAGATGTTAGGCCTTCAGCTGGTGTTGCAGTTTTTAAAACAGGTTCAGGCACACATTCTCACTCCTCTAATGTTCTTCTTTTTTTTTTTCTTTTGCCTTGCCAAGCAATGAAAAGGAAAAACAGGGAAGATAAAAGCACAGCTAAAATACAACCCTGATGAGCTGCCACCATTGCAATCACCATGAAACCGCAGTTCAGGGCTGTTAGAGACCAAGAAGACTGAAAATGGTGAGTGGTGAATGAGTAGCTGCTAATTTGATAATCACCGTGAATCCAAGTGAAACAGATTTGTTCGCCTCACTGTCTACAATTTACTTTTATTTGTGATTGAATTGTAATTTCCATTTAAAATCATTATAAGGAAACAATACATTCCTATCACGCTCACTTAACTACCATCCTGGAGTTTTTAGTTTTGCTGTAACATTAAATCTGGTCCTGCTGTCTTTCATTCCTACCATCAGGGCTTTCTCTTAAGTAGATGTTCTTTTCCTTATTGTGTTTATAACATGGGACAAGCTACACATATGCCTGGAGAGATGATGCTCGTGTTTTATTTCTTAGAGATGTGCACATTGGTTACATTTGAAATTTTCTCTCAAGAGAGTTAAATATCCCATAATTTTAGAAGAAAATATTCCATATAGATACAATTAAAAATGTTTATTAGAGTAGGGGTAGAATGCCATATTCATAAGGTTTAAATCCACTACAATTGTGGATCTTAAACAATTAAACAACTCACTATGGTGAATACAGTTACAGACTGCATGGAAAAATAAAATGACATACTATGATTGGTCACTTGCTTAAGCCAGCTGGAAAAGTTGGATGACAGAGAGCTCCAGACAAGAAATGCAAGGAACATCGCCTGTCCCCACAGTCACAAGTCCGCACTCTGAGTGACCGAGACACCCAGGTGAGGATCGACTCAGAAAACATGCACCCTGTCAGGACAGGTAGCCTTTACCTCAGGCTACCCCGGTAAAGTAGCAGCTTGTGAAACTGGATGCACATGTGATCCTCTATTTGTTAAGACAAAATCCTTTGTTTGCACGTGCATTTAATAGTGTCTAGGATGACATCTCCACAGTATTGCCAGTGGTATTCCTTTAATGGAGGGTGGTTTCTGGATGATTTCACTTTTATCTTCTTGCTTATCTATACTTCTTAAGATGAACACAAACTTGCAGAATGAAAACTTGTGCAATAAAGTTTATATACTTTATATTATAGAAAAACACCGCTAAATGCTACTTTTTAAAAATGACGTGTTTGTTGCATGATAGAAGACCTCCCAGCCTCACCAATTGCTTTATATCTCACCAACGAATCATTGACTCCTACTTATTTTACTTCAACACAAACTTTGCTTTCTACAATAGAAAACTGTAGGTTGATTATTCTATAGCTTTTCCAGTTTTTATAATAATCACTCCAACTCAGCACTACAGAAGAAGGGGTGATTTTTCTGTGAGTTAAGGGCTTGAGGGAGCTCAGGGCTCTGGACCACACTGTCTGGTATATCCCTTCTGACCACTAGAGGGCAACAGATGTTAACTTCTGTGTTGACCGCTTTTTGGGAGACAAGTGAGAAATGGTCCAGGCATACCTGGCTGGGTGTCACAGTGACTCTGTCATTCAGAAAGCCATGTGGTTTACTTGTCTTAGTGAAAATTAACAATAGAATGTTTTTCTCTCCTTTGAACTATGAGAATGCAAAAATTTAACTCCTGGCCCATTGTTAGGTGGTTCTGGAGATGCCAATGACTCAAACCTACATACTTAGGAATAGGACTTGCACCAAACAAGGGTTCTTGTATAAGACTTGTACACTATATGCTATATATTCTTGGAGTTTCTGGTTAACCAAATTTGAGGCAGAGGCTGTATAAAGTTGAGATGTAAAACAGAGATAATTTTTTTTTGACCTCAGTGTGTATACAATAGAAAAGCTAGATGACACAGTACAAATTCTACATGTAATTAAGGGGCTATAAAGGAAGGAGTATTAGTAAAGAAAATAACAGGGAAATAAATTTGACTGTCATAATTTTAAGAAAGTAATGTCTGCAGATTAGAATTGAGACAGGGGTTGAAAACTGGTATCTGCCTGGGACAGGTTGCACACTTTGTCTGATTAGGAGTACTGCTATAGACTGCTACAGACTGCTACAGACTGCTACAGGCTGCTACAGGCTGCTATAGACTGCTATAAAAATTAAAATTTTGTATTTGTTTAGGTGGGGTGTGCACTTTCCCTGTCATTGTGTATGTAGCACTTCACATTCACACACTTCTCTTACCTTTCAGGCCCTTGAAGACAGTTATGACTGCAACCCCTGGCTTAAAGGAACTGGGAAAGGGGGGCACGGTCGGGCGGAGGCAGAGTGGCATGACTACTGGGCCGGAGCTGGCAGCGGGAGAGTCCCCCTGGAGGGCGTGTGGAGTGGGGCTGCTGTATATACACTGGGTTGACTCTGACCAAGGCGCCATGTTGGAAAATAGGCTAAAAAAAAAGAAAATAGGTTACGAGGAATTGAGGGTGGTGGTGGTGTGATTTGAAGAGTTCTTTAGATCTGATACTGCTACGGAGGGCTCTGTAAGTGCCTGAGGATGAGGGGGCCAGGAAGTCCTGGGATGAGATGCAGGGATCAACCTGGAAAAGTGCTGGGAGTCTACTTCCTGTTCATTCTAACATCTGTTTTTTGCTACAGGTTTTGATGACTAGTACTGCTCTTCTGAAAAGAAACAGTGAACGCTGGAGTCGAATGTGACAGGTAGGGATGCTGCCCCTCATCAGCACTCCAGACGTCACCACTCGCCTGTGTGTGTCCCCAGGAAAGCTGGGGAATCATTTCCCCACATCCAGGACACGAGTCTCTCCTTGTATGATCTTGACAGCACCAATGCACGGCAGTAGAGTCAGTGCTGGTCCTGCTCCTGGCATTGACTCAGTGGCTCACTAGGCGCACAGTGACTTAATCACTGCACTTTAATTTTCTATAATAATTTCAAGAGATTGCACAAGCCAGCCTCAGAAGATTCGTTCAGCAGATTGGAGCTCAGAAAAAATGCCAAGATCCAGCTCTTAATAAATAAGCCAAGCTGTCAACCCTCCATTTGAGAAGAGAATTGGTCACATTGCATTATGGGAGTAAACAGTGGCAGGGGTGGGGGAGGGAGTGGGGTAGGGAAGGATGAAGAGGGGCAAAGAGTCTAAGAAGATTAGACATGGGTTCTAATTCTAACCTCACATTTTCCTGAGTGACCTTAGGAAAGCCATTGAACTTCTGTTTCATTTGCCAAATGATGAGGTTGGGAGGTATGTGGCAGGGTTTTTTGGGGTTTTTTTTGGAATGAAATGAGACAGTGTTTGTAAATGTCTGGCACACCTTCCTCCCTACTTCATCCATGTGGAAGTCACTCCTGGAACCCTGCAGTCCTGTCTGGGAGACGGACTCTAGGTGAGAAGGAGCCAAGTCTCAAGGACACACCATTAAGAGTTCATCTGTGTGAAGGAGCCAGGAAGAGATAATGTACTGATGTTTCCTGATTAACTCAATTAAACTCTGACCACTTAACATGCCCTTAACAGTTCTGATTGCCACAGCAATTTTTTGTTCTGTTGCTCTTCTATCAAAAGAATCTAAGGCAGAATTGTGTTCGGGATCCAGAGGCTGCTTCCAGAGCAGGTGGGGGAGTGCAGACTGCCCCTGTGGTGATTCGGCGGGTGCTGAAGAGGAGCCTCCGACCAAGAAACCGCTCTGCCTGGCCGCCCGGAGGCCAGGACCTCACAGGAGCCTTGCTGCTTTGCCACAGTGGTCTGGAACCCTGGAGCCGCACGGGCAGGTTGTCCAGTGACGTCTGCACGTGGCTGGAGCGCTGAGGTTTTCCTCCTCCTCCTTCTCCTCCATCTTTCTTCTTTTCCGCCTCGACTTGCTTCTTCTCTTTCTCCCGTTCTCCTTCTCACCCTGTGTGATACCACTGAAGTGACGGCCCTCTTCTTTTTTTCTTCCTCTTTCCTTTGCTTCCATTGCTTATAACGGATTCAGAGGGAATAAAAGAATCAAATATCTGTTTCACAGCCATTTTATAAACAATACAGGCTCCTTTCTTTTGACACCACTAGGCAATGAAAAGCACTGTAGGAGGACATTTGTGACAGTAGAGTGATGAATTCATGACGACTAGGCAGTATGGACTTGAAACAGGTCCACGGCGCTTCTCTGCTTTTAGCCGCGACCAAACCAGAATGAATGCCCATGGGTGCTCAGCTGGATCCGTGAAACAAAGGGGTTTTCTATTTTCTGATGAAAGGAAAATAATTTGGGGGGAGGACAGAAATACCCTACTCAAAGGAGAAATTTAGTTTGTGTTTGTTTCAGTGAAATTGCTTCAAGCCCTGTCGTATATTTCTGTGGCCCTCCATTGCTGTTGAAATGCTTTTTAAAGCCTTTCAGGTGTTGTTAAATTAAACCTCTTCAGAAGTTTATTTCAAGATTAAGGAGTTACTAATGCAGCCTTTTCAATATTAGATCACATTCAACATTCTTTACTTTTAAACAACTTGAACTTTTTGAACTAAGTTCCTTTTTTCAAATTCCATTTCGAAGCAGTCACATCTCATGTGAAATGGATTTCAGAAATTTATTTTAAAATCTGATAAGGATTCAAATATTCCAATCTACCACAACAGGAGGAAGGATTAGTGTGGTTTATGCCCTTCTCCTTTGTTTAAAGCCTTTCGCGATGAAGAATATACAGTGTGTTGCGTAAAGACAAGAAAGCAGGCTTGCATGCCGGAGCCGGGAGGCTGGTGCGTAGGGTTTGCAGAATGGATACAGAACGATGCTGGGACTCCCCTCACATCACAGCCATTGTACGTGTGTGTATTTATCACAATAATTTCCTAGCAAATTACTTGGAAATGTTTGGGGGAAGGTGCTTCCCCTCCGACCCCCAAGTTTGCAAAATGTGCCATCTAGGAAAGCAGTGACCCTGATGCTGAGTTAATATTTAAAAGGTTTATTTTTGCTCCTTTGGTCCCAGGCCTCTGCCTGAATTGAAATGAATTGGTCATATTCTGCTGTGTTGAAACTAAGGATTTTTCTCTTAACTTGCTGATCATTCCAAAGCATGCAAACGAACAAACAAACACCTGGAGTGTTTGCATTCCTCAGTTCCCCTTGTTTTCACTTGCTTTCTCCTGCGCCTAATAGCTTCTTGCTGGGTTCCCTCCTTAGTCCTTTATGCCAGGTGCTGTTCTAAGTTCTTGGTGGGTGCTAGCTCTATGAGTCTGTGCTGTTGGTCCTTTTTTTAAGGACAAGGAAACTAAGGCCCAAAGAGGATAAGGAATTTGCCTGTGGTGACACAGCCTGTTACAGGCAGAATCAGGGTTTGAGCCCAGGCAATGTGGTGTCAAGATTCCTACTATTAACCACTCTACTCTTCTTCCACTCCTGAGTTGTTCTCTTTTTCCAAAACCTGTGTGGCTGTCTGAAGTCCTGTTTTAAACTGCTTTGGCCATCCACCGTCTGACAGTGGATATCCCCCTCCTCCACTGTGCCATTCAATCAGATCTCCTCTGGGCACTGTCGTTTGGTGCCTCACAAGACCCCCTTGAGGACCAGCCCTAATCTGAATCAATTCCCTTAGCCCCAGTCCCCTCCAATTCCAAATTTCTACTGTTTTCTTCTGACCCACAGCTGAAGTGCCAGCTTGCCTTCTGGTGGACCCCATTCACCTGGTAAGGACAGAAATGGGGAATTGCTACTGAGGGCTATGTGATTTCTGTATTTTTATTTTATTTTTTTTTACCGACCAGTGTGCAAAGCCTCAAGAGCTTGACGATGTGCTGCCTCCGCTGGAGTCTGGGGGAACAGGAGGTCTCCTCTGTTGGTGGGAATATACCCATGTGGCCCCTCTGGAGGGCAGTTTGGTAACCTCTGTCACATGCATTCAAAATACAGCGAGACCCTGGCTACATTTCAGCACCTTTACTACTGCCACTCAGTTCTGAGTCACCCCATTTCTCACCTCCTTTATGGTCTTCCTGCTCCACTCTTGACCCCCCAAATCTATTCTCAGCACACATTCAAAGTATTTTAAAGCAAAAGACAGATCATGTCACATGATCTTTTCAGATCCCTCCATTGGCTTCCCCTTTCATTAAGAGCAAAAGCCAAAATTCCCATCATGAGCTACAGGGCCCTACGTAACTCGGCCTAAGTGTCGCTTTGGTCTTATTTTGTCCTCTTGCTGCCTTGGCTGCAGCTGCATTGGCCTACTTGCTTTCCCTGAATGTCTCAGTGACCTTTCAACTCCAGAGCATTTGCATGAGATGCTTCCTTGCCTGGAATAGTTTTCCCTAGGTGTCCGCGGGGTCCAATGCCTCACCTCCTTTAGGTCTTAGATGAAACATTACCCTCTCCATGGAGCCTTCACTGACCACTTGATTTACAGTTGCAACCTCTTGATCCCCTTCCCTTTTACTCCTCTCTGCTTATTTCTATAACTATTAATATCTTCTAACACACTCTGACTGACTTATTTATGGAGGCTTTATCTGTTGCTTTCCATGAGAATGGAAGCTCATCAAAAGTAGCAATATATATTTTTGCTTCATTATTGACAGTGACTGGCAAGCTGTCCAATAAATATTTCTTTATAAATATATTTCCAAAATATTTATTGGATAGTTTTGAATTTATTGATTGGAATTTGATTCAGCAAGTCCATTCTAAACATTTATTTTGTGACATACTTACACATGAGAGCACAAAGCAACATAAATTGGTAGTCCCTGAACATTGTTTGTTATAGCAATAATAAACTGAGCTGTTATAAAGACTGCACAGTTATCCTAAAAGATTATGCATTACCTGAAAGTGCTATTTAAGGGATTGCCAAAGTCTCAAATGAGATAGGAATAAAAATTGATTTGTATTCCTATAGGGAACTGATCTGTGTGGCAGTGGCAAATGTAGCCCAGCGCTGATTCGGAAAACCAGCAGGCGTGAGGTAGCACACAGAAGACAGGCCCGCAGATCAGCTTTCCCATGGGAAACCAGGCCTGCATTGTACCTAGGCTGCTTTGAGGTTGCCTTTGCTAAAACTCCCTCACCCTGAATTGAAGCAGAAAATGTTTACTGTATATCTTTAAAGTAACTTCCTAAAGTCTGTGCTAATTCTCCCAAGGACGGAGTGTAACCAGATCAATCATTTTTTATCATTCCCTTGCATTTGCAACATTTTTTTCTTTGTTAATCTGTAAGAAGTAATCAGTAACATCCTTTCCTTTGTTATCTTAAAAGATAATTACCTAAAGCAAACCTGAGCATAATGAATGAGAACCTTCTTTGATGCATGCTATTAGAAAGAAATAAAAGCCTGTCCAGGCAAGGGTTGGGGCCCTCTCTCAGAGAGTGGCTATGCCGTCCCTTTCTTTCCACAGGACTTCTGCAGTCCATGTAAATTTGTTCATTGCATCCACAACACATGGACACCACTGGTTAGAGTCTGCATCATATTCCATTACCTCCTAGAAAATGGGGGCAAATATTGAAGACTACATCAGTTACAGTCAGAACCTAATTTTCTTTGTACCCCTGAGTAAAAACTTGAAGTATATACATGTATAGAGTTACTACTTTTCCTGTCACCCCCAAATTGATAAATAAGTTTCAAAGTCAAGGACAGAGGTGTTCTGCTTCCATGTGCTAAAGAGAAGTGCCAACAATTAAGGTCAGGCACTTCCCCTGGGCTTACCTAGAGG